CCCTAACCCCCACACCCCATTCGAAAAAAAATACAAATAATCAACTCATGATGAAAACATCCCGATGGGGATTGAACCACGCCTATCCCCTCCGTGGTGCAGCATGATACCAGCGGACCTAACGGTGCCCTCCGGCATGTTAATTCTCAATATACCGTTACAGGCAGTCAAAGATTTTGTCAAAACGCTAGAAATTTTGCTTTCGACCACTTTTACTCGGAATATTCTTCATCATAATATTAATACTTTCCCATTTGGAAGTCGGTTGATTTTTATTGACTATTTCATCTTGAGAAAACCGAAAACAAACGTATGTGATCCAAAAAACCTTAAAATGGAATCCACATATAAAGAGAAAGAAAGGAAGGCCTAAAAGCACTTGGAAGAGGGACTTCACCAACTGAAGGAGATGTGATACAGTTGGACAGGGGTAGAGACGAAACCCAGGACAGAACTACATGGGGAGCTCTTGTTGAATGGCTTATACTTCGTACTGGGTAAGAAATGCTGCTGCTGCTGTTGTTGCTGCTGTTGCTGTTGCTGCTGTTGCTGCTGTTGCTGCTGTTGCTGCTGTTGCTGCTGTTGCTGTTGCTGCTGTTGCTGCTGTTGCTGCTGTTGCTGCTGTTGCTGCTGTTGCTGCTGCTGCAGCTGATGATGATGATGATGATGATGATGAGGAGGAGGAGGAGGAGGAGGAGGAGGAGGAGGAGGATTCTATAAAGCTGAAGTTGACTGGTACAGTTGAAACTGAGTCTGGACTCTCGATAGAAATACGAAGAAAAATACACATCCTTGAATTAAGGTAAAATTTACATTAACAACCTGTAGAAAAAGATACTTTGTCATTGGATTTACTTGGATTTACTTGGATCCAGAGCTAGAATCATAGCAGGCGGCACATGTCCATAGCAGCTCATCTCTCCTTTCCAGCCTCCACCTCAGGGTCTTTTTTTGTTTGTTTTGTAAAGTGTTTTACGGCGCTCGCAACTGCATAGGTCATATGAGCGCGCGGGACACACCTAATATTTTCAGTTGGTAGGAAATTTTTAATTTTGCCCGGGTGGCGGCCGAAGCCTACTCTTATCGATTTTAGACCACCAAGGGATCTTTAACGTGCGCAACTTGCACACGGGCCCTCCGAGATTTTTCGCCCTTGTCCGAGAAGGCTAGGTGTAGATCTTTCCTACCAGAAGATCAGGGGTGTGGCAGAAAGACAGCAGTAAGGAGGAGCCAAGGAGTAGCAGTAGAAAGGCTGCACAAAGAATCAGGAGCCCAGAGGAAGGGGCAAAGGATGTGAGGGGGTGAGGGGGTGGGGGCAGAGAGTCCTCACGGTCTTCCTGCTAATTGTCTCCATGACGAGCTGGTTTGAGACACGCCTGACCACTCCTCGGAGTAAACTTTTTTTCGCTGTGCCCCGCACACACTTTTCTTTTATTGTGCTGAGTGTGTGGGAGTCTGTCTCCTCTTGGTTGTGAAGGCTCTCCTTGCATCTGGCGATCACCATTGGTGGGTCGAGCATGATTCGGCCATTGGGTGCTGCTTTGCCGGCAAGTTCATCAGCACGATCATTTCCGTGCATCCCGGCGTGACCAGGGCAGAACACCCATGTAATTCTAAGGAGGTGGCTATTTGTAATGGAAGCTCTCCAGTCACTGTAGAGCCACTCACTCCTGATTTTTTCTTGGGTGCTCATCGAATCTGCGACAAAAAGGGCATGCTGATCCATTTCAGCGCCTCTGTTATTGCCTTGACCTCCATTGCCATGCTCGACGTAGTGCACTCGTAGGCTCCAGACTGTTCTTTAATTATCTTCCCGTCAACTCGAGCACTGAACACCCACCCAGATTTCTGGCCACGCCTCACTGATCCGTCAGTGAAGACGACAACATCACCCATCACTGAATTTTCCTCAAGGATGGCCACAATTTCCGCATTAGTTGCACTTGCTGGCCACTCGCGACACTCTCGACCTAGCGTAGCTATCACCTTCATGAAGTTGCTCATGTCTTTCTTCGGCCTCATCCAGTCACATCCTCTTCTTATGTCCTCGATTTTACAGCACATATCGAGAGTTCGCTCCGCCTGCACCATCCATGAATTTCCTCTTTTCAATCTTTGGCCTACTTGGCCTACTATTTTCGGATGTAGAGGGTGACGTTCGTCTGCTGTTACTCGAAGGTAGGCCTTGACTTGTGCTAGCTTGTGTCGGTGGGTTAACGTTGGCAGATCCAGCAGATATCTCATCGCTGATGCTGCTGTGTCACGGGTGCATCCAAGAACAGTTCTCATTCCTTCATTTTGAATATCTCGAGGCGATGTAGTTGGGTTATGGATAGGGTGAGCATACCAAGGCCATAGTCCACTACAGACAGTACAACCGCTTGAAGCATGACCATAAGGGCGCGTTGGGGCATAGATGCAGCCATCACTCTCAGTGCAACAAGTACTTTCCTTGCTCTGGTGATAATATTCGTCACATGGTCTTTTGCCGAGAGGGTGCGGTCAAAGGTAATGCCCAGGTACTTCAATTCCTCTTGCCTTTCCAACTGCGTACCTTGTATATTGACAGTAGGCATGATAGCCTTGACTGCCCTGTTGTTGAGACTGGTCCACAGCACCCTGCCTTCGCTGGATTAAGTTTTCCATTGTTCTGTTCGCACCTTTCACCAAATCGATATAATTCCTCCTGCATGCTCCTTGCAATCAGCTCCCGATCTCTCCCCTGACTATATATCTGCAAAGCTTAGCGTACGGCCAGGTCCCTCCAATTGATTGGCTGTAAGACCGATGGTGTATATATTGAACAAGACTGGTGACAGGGCCGATCCCTGGGGCAGTCCTGGGGTTATGGTAATAGGTTCAGAAGCCCAGCTGCCAAGGCGCAAGGAAACTTTTCTTTTTAACAAGGCATTTCCTACCCAGATCACTAATTCAGAGTCGATTTTCATATTGATCATAGTTCGCATGATCAAGCTAAAGGCACCCGGTTATAAGCATCTTCTAGATCTATTGCGGCGACTAGTGTCTCTTTTCCCTCCTCAAAACCGTTGTGTATGTCGGAGGCCTAAATTGCCGCATTCCTCCAGGTGTCTTTACCAGGGCAAAACACGATGGGGAAACTAATGGAAAAAATGGTGTCCAGATGGATGTCCAATTTCTTACAGCGCAACAATCTGATACTTGTGGAACTTGGCAGCTACTTTGTCACTAATCCCCATAAGTTGCCTATCTTTTTTTCCTTTTTTTTGGTAAGAGTTTTACGGCGCTCACAAATGCATAAAGTCATATGAGCGGGCGGGACACATTAAACATTTTGAGTTGGTGGGGAATTTTGAATTGTGCCCGGGTGGCGGCCAAATTCTACTCTTATCGATTTTAGACCACCAAGGGATCTTCAACGTGCCCAACTTGCACACGGAACCTCCGAGATTTTTCGCCCTTGTCCGAGAAGGCTATGTGTAGATCTTTGCTTACCTTTACTGGACAACGTAAAAAATAGCATGTTTGAAGCATTTTGTTATTGTTTGTTGTAGTTGTTGTTGTTATTGATGATGTTGTTGTTGTTGTCGCCGTTTTTGTCGTTTGTTGTCGTCGTCGTCGTATTATGTTTTGTTTTGGAGTGGTGTTTTTTTTTTTACTTTTACTTTTTAGATGCATTTTGCACAATCTATTAGCTCCGCAACCTAGGTGCCTGATCTGGATCATCCGCAAGGTGGGCGCACATTAAAATTGTTCTTAATGGCTGATCAAATTTCACGTTATTTAAGGAACAAAACTATAACGCGTCAGTGTCACCAATAAAACTAGAGGCTTTGATGAAACTGAATCTTTATGGACTTTAAAAAAATGCTACAGATATAGACAAGAAAACGACTTCAACATGCAACGAGACAGCAAGACCACTGACAGGAAACTATTCTGCAGGCTTCATGCGAAAGAAAATATTTCTAGAGTAATTCCCCTTTGATCACGTCTACAAAACCACATAACGCACACCGAAAGCAACACGCAATGGTTTCAACAATTTAGCATAATTTATACATACACCACTAAAAGTTGGAAGATTAGAAAGTTCGGAACTTAAAATTCTGCCTCGCCACCACAGTAGGTCATTCCATCTTCCTTCATCATTTCCGCGGTGACTGTTGCGTCATATCCGCTCACGTGATCCACATAGTAGCTCAGTTTCTTGTCCCGGAGTTTGCTGTACGTGTTGTCGAATACAACTTGGACTGTTTTTGTTTGGATGATTTTGTTGTAATAATTATATAATTAGTGAAAAAAACACCAAAATCTCCATGACTACCAAAACAAAAGTTCTTAAAGGTTAGGGGTGATCAACTCGTCTGTACGCTGTGAATGCTGGACAATTACCAAAGACATTAAAAATAGAAAAGAAGCATTAGAAATGTGGTTTATCAGGAAACTGTTGAGAATCTCTTGAAAGGAAATTAAATCAAATCAGGCGCAATATAAAGAAGCCTAGATTTATGTGGGCCGCCCAATAACAAATACAATAAAGAAGAGACAAAATATGTAGTCTCAGGGAAAACTTGAAATTTGAATTGACGAAAGAGCCTAGAACATCTTGTTCTCACTGGTATAATTAAAGGCAAACGAGGCAGGGGTGGACCCGGACCACTCACTAGGAAAGCGTGAATAGATGGGTGACGAAAAAAGACCTGAATGATAATAATGATAATAATAATAATAATAATAATAATAATAATAATAATAATAATAGTAATATCGATCATAACAATATCAAACATGTGCTCCTACCAACGGAAATAAACAGACAGACAGACAGACATACAGACAGTCAGACAGACAGACAGACAGACAGACAGATCTATAGACAGACAGACAGACAGACAGACAGACAGGTAGATAGATAGATAGATAGATAGATAGATAGATAGATAGATAGATAGATAGATAGATAGATAGATAAACAACTCACAAGTAGCGGCTACATCACATGTATAGCTCCCGTCCTCTGGCACCATATGGCTATTGACCCTCTCCACGGGCACTACAGCCACACTCTCCTTGCCTTCCACTCGGAACACGCCAAAGCCGATGTCGTAGCCGTCTGTCTTGAACTCCCAGCTGGTACAAAAGAGAGAGAGAGAAGGGGGGGGGGGGTGAGAGAGAGAGAGGGGGGGAGAGATTGAGAGAGAGAGTGAAAGAGAGAGAGTGAGGGGGGGGAGAGAGGGGAGAGAGATTGAGAGAGGGAGAGAGAGAAGGAGAGAGACAGAGAGAGGGAGAGGGAGAGAAAGAGGGAGAAAGAGAATGAGAGAGGGAAAGATTGAGTTCATTGAGAAAGAAAGAGAGAGAAGGGGAGAGACAGAGAGAAGGAAAGGGAGATGGAGAGAGACAGAGAGAAAGAGAGTGACAGAGAGAAGGAGAGGGAGAGAGAGAGTGAAAGAAGGAGAGAGATTGAGAGAGAATTGAGAGAGATGGAGAGAGGGAGGAGGATGGAAAGGGGGAGTGGGCATTATTTGTTTATAGCATGGATCACAATAACTGGTTCTTTTACAGTTTCTGTGTAGCCTATGTCTTTGCGTGTATATGTCTGTTCAAGTGTATGTATGGCGGTGTTTATGTGTGTGTGTGTGTGTGTGTGTGTGTGTGTGTGTGTGTGTGTGTCTGTCTGTCAGTCTGTTTGTTTATCTCTCTCTCTCTCTCTCTCTCTCTCTCTCTCTCTCTCTCTCTCTCTCTCTCTCTCTCTCTCTTTCTTTCTCTCGCTCTCTCTTGTTCTCTCGCAAAGTTTGTGTGTATGAATCTGTGTGTGTGTGTGTGTGTTTGCATTATCTCTCTCTCTCTCTCTCTCTCTCTCTCTCTCTCTGAGTGAGAGTGTGTGAGAGAGAGAGAGACACTCACACACACACACACACACACACACACACACACACACACACACACACACACACACACACACACATAATAATATTAACAAATTGCATTAACTTAATAATTATATATACCGTAACACGCTGCCAGGTTTCGTGACCTCGACATCAACACTGAACTTGTCTCCCCTTGGCACAGTGGTACTCTCCATATGTTCGGAACTCTCCGCTTCATTGAGGTAGTATTCCTCGGGGACATTGCCTCCCTGGCATATCTAAATTGGGTAATACAATGATTATTACAATGCATATTTAATCATGTTCTCAGAACGAGAAAGAGAGAGAGAGAGAGGGGGGGGGGGGGGGTAGGGAGACAGAGAAAGGGAGAGGGATAAAGAGTGTTTAATATCTATCAAGGAATTTCTGACTTAATGTTTATTTATTTATTTTTTTAGGTAATTTGTGACTTTGTGTTTCATTTCTGTCAGGTAATTTCTGACTTTATTAGTAATATCTTGGGGTGGGTGGGGTGGGGGGATTTCTAACCTTATGTTTAATTGCTTGAAGGGAATCTCTGACTGTGTTTTATTTCTTACAGGTAACTTCTGACTTAGTGTTTAATTTCTCGAAGATAACTATGTTTAATCGAGTGGAGGGAATCTCTGACTTTGTCAAATTTCATGAAAGCAATTTCTGACTTTTTGTTTGATTTCGTGAAGGGAATCTATAGATTTGTTTAATTTCTAGGAGAAAATGTCTAACTTTATGGGTAAATACATTCTTTAGTGTCCAAAACTAATCGTATACCCACCTAACTAGGACAGACACTTCTTTTGTCAGAAATCGCGTTATCCACAACCTCAATAACAATTAATTAATAATTGTTCATGTTCTATAACTAGAATGAGTGAAAAGAAGGCTCTATATAAACTGTTGAGCAGTTCTGGAAGATATTTTAAAAAGAATATACAACTTTTTTTTTACACCCCATCGACGCAAATTAGATCCTTGGGGAGGCGGGCTTCCGATCCTGACTGTCAGGGTCAACCCGAGTAGAGAGGTACATAACATTCTTGCAGAATGACCAAGAACCTCGAAAAAAGTCCCCCCACTCAGGAATCGAGCTTGGGTCTCCTAGCTGCGTACGACAGAGAATACCCTTAACCGCTACACCGCACACAACGGTCAACAGAGAGTGAAAAGGTAACAGTTGCAGCAAGCAAAAGACGTGAGTTCGATTCCAATACATGGGAACGTCTGTTGTTATATCAAGTATTCTCTATCTTTCGGCTGAGATGCTGTAGTCGTTTCAGCTCGGGTGACCCCCAACAGAATGGATCAAAGCCGTTCTGAAATCGTCTAAACTGCGTCAATGTGGACGGATGAAAAATTGTATTTCCCGATAAGCTCATATAAGGTATGGTTATTACTCCTTTAATAGCAGAGATCAAGAGAAAAGAATATCACTATAACGTAAGACTATTTATTGCACGCAGAAGGATGGCAAACAATAGAGATCTCGAGAATACCCGAAGTCGTTTAGCACAAGGCAGTCTCGTCCTGCGAGGCACATACATAATGCATTTCCTTGCCTACTCCCAAGTCCATTAAGCTTTATTTTTAAGGATAAAGGGTAGGGAAAGTCTAGCGGGTATCGGAGTGTATAACGTTTACTTCTGGGTCAGGCAAAT